TCCACCCGCGCGACAGCAAAAGCCGCCGTGTGACTCTTCTGCTGTTATGTTGTCTGCCTATATTATTAACTGTAATCTACTCCGTCTTTGTTTATGGGTTACACGTAATACTTAATAAGTGGTAAGACACCTTGCTTTATTATACCCTGCAGTGGGCGACAAGGAGCTGATGATGAAGTAGTTTTACACCTTTAAAGTATTTAGTTTAGTTTAAATAGGGCCCCAATTCCATTTTTGCCCCGGGGCCCTTGGTTACATAGCTACGCCACTGGTGTTAGTCCCTACTTTAATGTATGGTAGTGAAAGTTGGGTATGCCAGAAGAAGCACGAGACTAGAATAAATGCTGTAGAAATGCGATCATTAAGGAGTATGTTAGGGATGAATCTGAATGACAGAGTGAGAAATTGTGTGATAAGAGAAGAGTGTGGCTTGCAAGATAATGTTGTGACCAGGATTAAGAAGGGAATGCTTCGGTGGTTTCGGCATGTAGAAAGAATGAATGAGGAAAGAGTGACAAAGCAAATTTATGTTGCAGAGGTGAACGGTAGAGTCGGGAAGGGGCGCCCTAGGCGAAAGTTTATCGACCAAATTGGCGCTATATTGAAAATGGGCCAAATCAAGAGTACCTTTAACCGACGAGCGTGTATGCGTAGGTATATGGATGTGGAGGAAGCGAGAGAGGTGTGTCAGGACCGTGCCAAATGGAAGTCCATAGTTTCTGCCTACCCCTCTGGGTGATAGGCATGATTGTTTATGTATATGTATGTCATGTATGTTTATTACCACTCTGAAGCCTTTTTCGACTAGGTGTGATGATGGAAAAGACTGAAGAAAAATGCTTGTACGCTCGAACTCATTATCTTGCACGAACTTGTCCACGTTTACTGACTTGAGCTTCACGCGTTTTTCATCTTGTCTTGTACGAACTTGTGCACGCTTATCGACTTATTGAGTTTTTTTAAAACTACAACAATGACACTTCCTACCAAAATATTAGTCATTCTTATAACAAGTTGGTACACGTAACACAACTTATACAGTAGGTTTCTTGGAAGTTTTAAATAAAAACGTGTGTAAATAATAAATTATTAATAGGGGTCGATTTTTAGACCTCGTCGACCTCCAGAACCAGCTTTTGTTTATGTTGACCCCTGGAAAACACATTTTGACCCGAAGGGTTCGATATCGACCTTTTAAGGAATCCCTGGACTATAATACTATTATTTTATCTTATTGTGGAAAAAACGTAATGATTTACATTATAATTTAGGTAAGTAATATAAATGATTATTTATAAGGCTTAGTGCGTTTATTAAAAACTTTAAGGTGCTTTGGGGTAAATAGATCATATTTTCTGATTAGTTGATACGATGCATATTTATAGTTGTTTTTAAAAATTCGATCTAAGTTTACAACCAACTCATATCTCTTTTATTTATTGAAATACATATCCTAATTATTTTGTTATTCATCTTAATAAAATGTCTGCGTTGCGCAAATACAATCATTTGTACGCTACGCTTAAATATAAAATTTGACATATTTTTCTTCTGGATAAGGTATAATTCCGATATGACGCGGGGTAAACCGAAAATTTCTTTTTGACTTTCGACAAAAGGTTTAGATTTACTTTTCGTTCGTCTATACCCCTCTACAAAAAGCATTGATACATACGTTATGTTGCTAATTTAACTATATTTTGCTCACTTGAATTTTCGGAATTATTAAAGTTTTTTTTTTTTATAGAATTAGGGTGACAAACGAGCACACAGTCCACCTGATGGTAAGTGGTTGCTGTGGCCCATAGACATCTGCATCTATCCTCGTTAGTGAATTAAAATGCAGATGCGTTGTCAGCCTTGAAGACTAAGATAGAATGCCTCTTTTCGAGTAAAATGGGTCTCCAGTTCTCTACACTCACCATACGAAACACAGCAGCATTAAGCTGCTATTTTACGCTGGTATTCTGTGAGAGCGTGGTCCTTCCCCGGTCGAGCCGACCTATTCGTGCTACAACTATACTATTAATATAGCTGCAGTATGGCTCTACCACGTAAATTCAAAAGTCCAGTGTTTCTAAACATTTAAGGCACCACCACGGCAGCGCACCTTGCGTTCCCGTAGTTGGACAGTTATTAGGCTAGTTAAAGAGGTTTCTTCAAACTTTTATAACAGGTAAGCGAGTACAAAAAATATTTTTTTATACGTTTCTTTATATATATTTAATGAGTCAAAGTATCCGAATTCGGGATTTTTCAAACCTTTAAAAACTCATAACTGCGAAAATATTACTTTTATCGTAAAACGTCATAGGACCTTTTGTATTTATATTTTGCCAAGAAATATTAAAAAAAATATTGTTCATACTTTATTCTTTTTCTTTGTGCATTTCTAATGGGTCAAGTGTCCGAAATTGGGATTGTTCAAGTCTTTAACAATTCATAGAAGATATTAACTTTATCGTAAAAAATCACGGGACTTTTTTTATTCGTATTTTATCAAAGAATATAAAAAAATAGTGCCGTTTGAAAATAACAATTCAAGTTTAAACAATACCTACGGCACCGAGTTGCCTCATGGCAACATACATTTATAACATCAGTAGGACAACTTGAACTAACTGACTATGTCTAAATATTTGGCATTATGGTAGGTACGCTTTGCCCACTGCCGTTGGTTAAATTCGCGAACGTGTTAAACTTATCCAAAATAACAATTTATGCTGACGAAAGATTGACAGTCACTGGAAACTACAATGGAAACGTAGTTCGATAGTCAGATAGATAGATAGGTATTTCCGAAAAAAACACAAAAACAATAGCTGGCTAATCCTAACCTATAAAATAAAGCTTTAAAAACTATTACCTATCATAAAATCAAACAATCATTAAGATTACTTAGCAAATTCCTAAGATCATGAACGCAGGGTAATTCCGAAACACCGAAAAGAATTGAAAAAAGCTGGTTCCACCGAAAAGTTAACTTTGCACGCGCACTATTGAGACTAGCTATCTGAAACGAATGAAGGAGTGAAGGACTGAAGCGAGGGAGACAAATAAAATGACGACATTTTTATATTTTATATATATATTTTAGTATAAAGTTACCAGAGCAAAAAATATTGCCTAGGTAAGCCGTAATTTGTAAATATCGAAATTCTCCCATTTTCGTAATAACCCAAAGCACCTTACTTTTAAAATGTACAGAATAGACTGCAATACCAGGTGCACCTTTTTTTTTAAATATGTATAATCAAAGGCAACAATTAGTCATTCCGTAGGCTGGCTAGACATATCAAAGTGGGCTCTAAATTGTTGATTGCAGTTTTGTAGAAAGTTGTTACTGAATCTACCAAACAAAAACAAAAAACAACGAAGAAGCATGTCGTTTATAATTTTGAATTGTAAATCATTTCAAAATTCATATAACTTTATGCCATGCTGTTGGGATATAACGTACAATTTTCCGTAACAAGAGCTTTTTACTAAATTTCGGAGTATCCTTTTAAAAGTGATGCACAAAAATACTGATGAATCGTTATCGAAAATATTTTAAATTATTAAGTACTATTTCCGATTTGTAAGTATTTAGCAAAACTGATTTCGTAGTTCAACTTTTGCACTTAATTAAATTAAACTAAAAAAATTTAAATAAAACAATAATATTAATATCTTAACAATACTTATTTTACATTTATATTTAATAATTGTCAAATAATGATAAAGTACCCACGATAAAACTCCTGCACACCTTGCTCGACTTAACATATTATCCTCGAACTTGTGCCCACACTGTGATCAAGTTGGAATTATTCATCACCTGTTGTTTGAAATTTAACTGTCAACGGTTATACTATATGATATATACACACACGCACACACGTACACACACGCTCATGCGCACACTCATACACACACACACACACACATACACACACACACACACACACACACACACACACACACACACACCCATGCACGTGCGCGCATGCACACACTCTGTTTCTCTTTTATTAAATGTACTTAGCTCAGGGAGGGCGAAAACCTTCTACCACAAGTAGTCGTTATTACAAGTGACTGTGTTTTTGAAGAATACGAAATACTTTCTGCCTATTTACAAATACATTAAATCGACTATAGAGAATCTAAATAAACGAAGATCCCGAATGAAATGAAGACATGATTTAAAGGACAATCATCCAAGCCAAAAATATTAGTTACCAAAATGGTAAAGTACATGTAATATTAATGAATTTAATGTAATTTTTGTGTGCATAAAATAAAATATACTAGTATATTAATACAAAAAATATAATATTAATCCATAAATAAAAGATTTAGACAATCGATAAATTAGCATTGTATAAAGGTCAGCACTATTTAAAGTTTTCAAGACGAATGATTCGCTTTCTCGCTCTTGACCACTAATACTATTCCTTTCTTACATTCAATTCGTTCTGTCTTCTGTTTCTGTCAGTAGAGCGCGTATTGCTTCCTCTACACTACTCGCGAAGTAACTTCGACGAACTGCTCGTCGAAGTCGATCGCAGTCCGAAGAACGTGACCACACACTCGTGCTACTTCGTGAAGAGCTCAGTCGTCTTGAGTCTCCCGCACTGTTAACATGAATGACGTTCAAGAGGCAGCTGCTTTATGTACCTAATTGTGTGAACAGTACGACGTCAATGCGTTAACTAAATAAATAATTATGTAGAAAGCTATATATTTAATATTTATATATATAAAAAAATATTCATAACTGGCGTAAGCCGAGTAGTGTAGTGAGACGCTTCGTGTAACTTCGAGGTACTTCGCGAAGCCCTTTGACTCTGGCGCAAAAAACCGACAGCGATCGGAAGTCGCCCGAGGCGAAGCGAGGTTGGACGAAGTGAATCGAAGTACCTCTCTACACTATTCGCCTCGTCCAACTTCGATCTACTTCGCGAGTAGTGTAGAGGAGGCATAATGTTTCTATATAGTTTGTGCTTTGTGCACTGTGCAGTAGAGTTAAGTCGTTTGTGTGGTGTGGTAGTGCCAATTAAATTTTGACATTCTGAACGCGTGTTTATATTTGTTATTTCATTATAAATTAAATAATTATTATTTTGTTTCTAATGTGAAGCGAAATAACAAAAAAATATTGTAAAAATAGTGTTTGTAGCAGTATTATAAATTTATCGTAAGAAGTGAAGACGTTTGGTGGTGATGACTGATGATGGATTTTGTGATGTAGGGTTAGAACTGACGTTATATCGTGTGTTTTAGTATAAATAAGTTCAAATTGACAAAGCAATGGCGGTGATTAATTTTAGCGTGTATTTGGTGCTTATATTTTACCAGCTTTCAACAGCTCATAGTGACGAGACTTCATCGGAATCTGCAGATCTTGGTCTGATGGGTATGTAATGAATTGTTTAGTTTAATATGCTTGTCATTAGTAGTTTATACAAGTGTTTTCGTAACAGTCAATTCCTGGACGGCTTCTCCCGTTGTATTAAAGAGTTGCATTTATCACCACGCTTGGCGAAAAATCGGATCACGGTTGACGATTAATAGGTATACCCCTATGCCCCTATTCATCGGTGTCGTTGTGGTATTTCTCGTATTAACTACAGTTACGTAGTATTATTGTTTTATTCTGTGCTATAGTCTCCTCAAAAATAGGACAAACTAACTCCTTTTACATCGCCCATATCTGTTAATGCAAAAATCTATTATTTTAAATTAAGTCCCGGTTTTCGACTTTGTTTCATAAAGAATGATAATATGATATTCAATTATTGCATAAAGAAAATACAAAAAATTACACTCTAATAATATTATATATCTTACTCGTGACTTGTTCTTTTTAACATCATCAAAAATGTAAGAATTTGAGACAAAAACTTCACAAGAAAATAATTTTAATCCCCTCTTAATCCAGTGGTTCAATTAATTTTGACTGCGTAGGTACCTACATACCACTTCGAAAAAGAGCTCAAGCTTGCTTGCCCTGCGGTTATGATAAGTAATAAATTATCAAAATTACAACGGCGATATATATTTCAATTGTACAAATAATTACGTTGTACTTGTGCGATTCGGCGATTGTAATTTTTGAGTAGTTTTTTTTTACCTCAGACAAGATTTTTTTGTCCTTGCCATTACCTCAGTCAAGAGCGTACCCCCAAGCGTACGTTAATCAACCCAACGTAGCCCGCGTAGGTACTACTAATTGGGAGACAAACATTGCTCACATCGAACTGCAATATATTATGCATATTGCAATGGACGGCCAGACAAGTCGGCACGAGTATCGATTGATCCAATGACGTCATCAGACAATCCATTGCTTATCGTAGCGATCTGATAAGGCACTGGCGCCGGCGGTATCGGACAAATTCAGCTATCGGGATGCCTGTAAGCTGCGAACTTACGTATTAGGTACCTATTAAGTCTCCATATTGTCAAAACAATGTAAAAAAAAAACATTATTTATCTGTGATTTATTATGTCATTTTTCAACTGCAATAACCGGAACTCTACGTGAACATATTAGTACCCGTATGTCAAAAATTCTTATGATAAGGTCACATGAGTAAATAATCTACTAATGTAATAAGGTTTAAGAGATAGGTGGACTAAAATTACGAATGGATATTAAAAACTCCACAGTGCGAAAATTTTAAAAGTATAGGTGTCGTATATCTCGTACATCTAGACAAATAAATGTCTGTAATGTCAAAAAGCTTTTTACTAAGTACATAATATGAAAGTATATACGGTACTAATAACAAAAATACAATTTTTAAAGTTTTTGTCTGTCTGTCTGTCTGTTTATTTGTTCCGGCTAATCTCCGAAACGGCTGGACCGATTTTAACGGGATTTTCACTGACAGATAGCTGGAGTCACAAGGAGTAACTTGGGCTACTTTTGTTTTAGAAAAAGGATTAGGGTTCCGCGCAAATAAAACTAAAACCCCAAATAACACGCGGGGGAAGTCGCGGGGAACAGCTAGTATTTAAATATAATGTCTATTAGCCTCAGGTTATTCTATAGACTATATAACAAAATATTAGCGTATACGTATTTACATACGTAAACGTAATACGATATAGTATTAAAAATATAGACACATATTAGGTAAGCTACCTACATCTAAAATGTTTTTTTTTTAATTCATGGAGACAAACTCGAAAAAGAAGGAATGTTTATTTAGTCTAGTCTAGTTTTGAATTTTAAAATGATACTCGTTGAATCGGGTGGATTTAATGTAAAATATACGCCGCCGACATGTGTGCGACACGCGCCTAAATGTCGGGCGCCAGTGACGTCATGGGATTACACCCGGTACTCCTGCCGTAGTCGGCCGCCTAACCAGCCCCGTCTCTAGCCCAACCGAACCATTGTCAGAACGATAACAGACGACGACTATTCATTAAATACTGATATTTTTATAACAAACCTGCCTTTTGTAACTTAAAATATTTATGTGAATAAGTTATTTTTGATTAATTCGCATAAATAATTTATGCTATTTCGGAATTAAATTTCTAATTTCCTATAATAAATAAAATAGTACATAATAAAATGTATATGGAATAGTACACTCATAAAGTAGAGGGTCGGACAATAATAATGGACGTATATACTTTCTGGGTTGACTTGACATTGATTCGGTCCATGAACGCAGGCACACCGAGAAAGAAATGAAATTTACCTATAAGTAAAAAAACAACAACTACCAAGAGAAACATAAAATGTTTTGTTCAGAAGAATAATTATGTGATACTAGCGATCCGCCCCGCCTTTGTACGGCTGATCTATGGATCACGACAACAGCGCCACCTACCGGGTCCAATTGTGAATCTAAACCATTCTCGAATCAACTTAATCACACTCACAAAATTTCATCAAAATCGGTCCAGTTGTTTAGGAGTTCAGTCACATACACACGGACAGAAGAATCTTATATATAAAGATAATATGGCATTTTTTTATTTATTTAAAGGATCTTATTGTTGGTTAACCCATTATTGACAGCGCCGAAGATTGGTAAATATTAAATAACACATTCTTTCGTTATTAAATTCCTTAAAGTATTTTCTACAAGCATAATTTAATTCCTCCCTCTCCCTTCCACCATCGGACAACCAGACGCGTTCGGCTAGTCTCCACCCTTTCGTTGTAAACTTACCACGCATTCGAACCAAACGGTTCGTTACATCGTTCATCATGCATACAGCAAAGAAGTAGAATACGTTGCCAGCATCTGTCTGTACATCCGATTACTATCCGATACTGTTATTTTCATATTTATTCTTTGAATTCCGCGTTATTCAAATAGTTACAATCCACTTGCTTCCTGTTCCATCTATTATTTTATAGTCAGCAAAAACCTATTTTTCTTTCTTTCTTTTCATTAAAAAAACGTTACCCCCACACTAGGATTTTCTCCTGTGTCGTGGAGGCAGTTTACAAACATAAATTGCACAAGGACAAACATCCAGACCCGGAACAATGATTTGTAAGCCATACAAATACTTGTTCCGTGCGGGATTCGAACCCGCGGCCCCCAGCGCAACAACTGATTGCTAAGCCACTGCGTCACGGAACCGTCAATTATTTTTTCAACCTATAATTATTTTTAAATTGTTATATGCATACTTACTTTAAATATATCAATATGTAATTAATAATTATCAATATGATGCAAAATACTATTGAATAAACTTGATTTAATGGTTGGTAAACATGATTAACGCAAATTTAGAAAATATTTAACTGAAACTGAAACACGTTTCTTACTTGATAGAGCCATATTATGGGTGCAGCATGAATGGGTCGACTCGACCGGGGAAGAACCACGCTCTCACAGAATATAAGCTTAATGCTGCTGTCTTTGGTATGGTGAGTGAGAACCGGAGACCCTTTTAACTGGTAACGAACATACTATCTTAGCCCTTAGAGTTGACAACGCATCTACATATCTACGTAATGATTCTTAATAGAGGATAGATATCAAAATCTATGGGCCACAGCATCCACTTAACTTAAGGTGCACTGTGTGCTCGTTTGTCACCCTTATTCTATAAAAAAACACCATTTTTTTAATGACACCCACGATTTGTTTTTATTTAGGAATTTACAAATAAATCTCACTCACATTCTCACGGTGACTGATGCAAAAATATTCATTTATCACCGATACCCGAAATCACGCGTACACAGCAGGTTCCGCTTTCACTGGTTTTTAACAATTGTATATCGTAACTCTGTTTTTAATTGCACTTTTATAATATGCGTCTAACGCTTACATATTATGTACGTGTGTATTATATGTAATATTAAACAAGATGGAAAAACGCATACAAAATTAGATCTACAGAATAGGAAAGTCGATTATCACCTGCAATTTTTCTGGACCGATACGACTTAGGGACTTTCAAGAAAAGAGCGTACTCCTTTTTAAAAGGCCGGCAACGCATCTGCAATTCCCCTGGTGTTGCAGTTGTTCATGGGCCGCGGTATTCACTTACCATCAGGTGAGCCGCATGCTGGTTTGCCCCCTGTCCTATAAAAAAAAAGTTTTATAGAGCTTAGATAATCCATCCATTCTTTTCCGCCTATTACTTTTAATCTATGGGAGAGGCCTATGTTCAACAGTGGATTTCTATAGGCTGTAATGGATGGAGGGGTGGTAATTTAAGTTTATTATTTAAAATAAATTATTTAAAAGTACCTATTATTTGAAGATGAACGTGTGATTCAATGATATTTTGAAGAAAGGCACAGTAAAATATAATATAAATAAATATAATATAATATAAAATATATAATTTAGAATTCGCGTAGCCACCAGTTGGCCTCAATTATGTATAATACGAAAGAATTCTTAAACAGACAGCAAAAAGTTGCTGCGTCAGATTTATGATCGATCCCGCTATAACTAGCTAATCACTTTTTATAATCTTCGGTTGAAAAGTTAGCCGTATCTAGAAACTTTTAGCTATTTAAATGTCAGCTATCTGTGCACGCGATTTAATATGCTTGAATTATTTTATTCATTGAGACAATAGTTCCGTGTTAAATCCGTTCGTGCCGACAGACAAACGTATTTATTTTAGGTTGCATTCTACTTCATAATTAAATACACGAACAGATCAACAATTTGGAAGAACGTTTTCAATTTGAAATTAGCAGGTATATATCTCTAATTGTCGATGTTTATTGTTTAGGCTCGTGTATAGACAGAAAATACACATTTTATTTAGGTAGGTATCCACAGTCACTTTACACTTTTATAATTAACTAGATCAAAAATCATTTTATTTTTTATTTTAATAATATATTTTTTATTTATTGTAGGTTCCTTATTTATTTACAATACTCGTATTAAAGCGTATCATGGAAGTTAT